AACGAAAGGTTTATTTTAACATAAACCATTGCACTAATGTTTCAAATTTTGAAAAACTTCCCATACAGGAAGAAAGCTAAAAACAGACAAATGACAGAAATATTTTAACAATTATTTAACTGAATTCGCAAACTTTGTTTTAGCAGGGAACAAAATAGTTTTAAAGCCACAACATAACCAGTGCTAAGTCTTTTTTGCAGCTATTTTTATTTGAATTGTTTTCTTAGTATGTTTGATTTGGTGATAAGTGGAGGCGTTGCAGAGACAAGGGTGGAACAAAACCGAGAAATACCGGCAGTTTCTCGGTAACTCCATTTTGACGCTTTGTGTTTCGTGCTTCGCATGTGCGACTCCACTGCCTTAATTCCCATAATTCTGAGCTTGAATCGCTTCTTGCACAAAATCCACTGTGCCTGTGTTCCCTGGTTTTAGCCATGGAGAAAACTCTTGGCTGGATAGACAATTTTCTTTACATTTACACTTGCTCATATTTTCCAGACAAAAAGTTAATGGCGCATCTCCCAAATGTCCCGGCCGCAACAACGCTTTTATCGGGACGGAACCAATGATGGCGAGGCGTTATTTATTTATGTTTTTTATTAAAAAAATGTTTTCAATTTTAATGTTTTATTTAGATTACAAAGATAAATCGTAATAAAAATAATCCTATTTATGATTTTTTTTTTTTTTATTAGACCCACGAAAGACTGATTTAAGACATTTTAATACCAATTAAGGCCTTAGTTTTATTTTAAAGAATTCAATGCCTTTTAAGACTTTTCAAGGACCCGTGGGAACCCTGATTTTAATACCCACTTTTACTCTTTGGCTTTTAACACCGCATAATTATGTGTTCCTCTTTGTCCTTTTTATTTATTTATTCATTTTGAACTCTCACTGCTTTTTTGTGCGCGTTTATGTTTTTTTTTTGTTAATTTGTTTTTATGTGCAGCACATTGGAAAACCCCTGGATCAGTGCTTCACAATCCCTTTTTTTGTTTCTGCTTTCTCTTCTCAAACTCAGTCAGTTGAAGCAGAGAGCCGATCAAAGCCGATTAGATAAAAATAACAAATAAAAGTTATTTTTTCAGTTATAATAACGTGAACTTGCCAGCAATGGTTGATTTACAATATATGAATCAGACTTAAAATCTTTATTTTACATACAATGATGTATTTCAGATTAAAGGCGGATTTATACATGTAAGAAAATTAAACTACAATAAAAGATCAACTAAAAGTTTTTATTTCACCTTTGCTATGGCTGCCTACAGTCATTAAAGGCTGTGAGCACAAATTTCCTCACGTACATTTATCAAAAGTGACTGCTGCTGACTAACTCACTGATGATTCAGGTGGTTCCTCCGGCTGAGAGAATACTTTATTTTATCCTCTGCATCTCATCCCAGATCTTAGTTACATTATGGCGAGGCAGAGCGTATCTGTAATTCTGTTGCACAACTCTGCGATGCATAATGAAGACCTAATTGAATCCAGAGCCGCCACAGATGGATTAAACTTATCTCACATCAGCCGTCTCTGCCAGTAAACCTGGATAAGGATCAAACAGACAGATTTATTGAGTCTTAATGGGGCTGACCTGATGGTGCCAGAAATGAGCCAGTGTCTTAGCAATGCACACCGCTCCTGTGAGGAAGGAGGATTTTATTTTGCATGGAAAGAAATAACTTTCTATTTAATAATAACAACCTTTGTTCATTTTCTGCAACTTCAACACAGATGTAGGTCGGTGTTTTTAAGGTAAAACAGTGAAAACAATCACTTGACAGCCATATTATTTGAGTTTACATCAAAGTGCATACAAATACTCTGGAAGAACAGAGACATTCACTCTTTTATTAAAGGTTGCAAGAACAAAGTGCTGTCTGTCCGCAATATTTTATACTCCTAGTAAGTCTATACAGGTCTCTCCCACTGCAGCAAAACCACTTCACAGATACCACAGAAGTAGTTCTGCTTCGATTACAGCTGCCAGACCACAATGATGTCATATTGTTCCAAAAAATACAATTGTTTTGGAGAATGTTTAGGGATTCCTGCATCCCTACTGTTTCCAACCAGCACAGCCTGATTGCTCAGTTGCAGCTTTTGATGGCCTACTTCATACATCCCGCTGGAACATTTTCTCAATGTATCCAGATTTTCTTCAAACGTTGGTTCCTAAGTACCACACCTCCCTCTAAAGTGCAACCTTTCCTAGTGTTACTTGGACATGGATTTCTCTCTGATTCTTTCTTTTTAATTTTTTCAAACTTTTCACTTCACTCTGACCCACAAATCACCTAAAGACCCCAAATCAACTCTTGACAACCTGCAGAAACAATAAAGCGATCCTTCAGACACTTTGCTACAGGCTATATTAATCACAACATTTGTTCCCAATGCTTCTGTTGTAGCAAGCTGCTTGTATACAGACCGTTTGCATGCGGGCTGCCTGTATACTGACCGTTCGTAAGCTGGCTGCTTGTATACGGACTGTTCGTATGCATGCTGCCTGTATACGGACTGTTTGTATGCAGGCTGCTTGTATATGGACCGTTTGTATGCAGGCTGCTTTATACGGGCTGTTCGTATGCAGGCTGCTTTATATGGGCTGTTTGTATGCAGGCTGCCTGTATACAGACCGTTCATATGCAGGCTGCCTGTATACGGACCGTTCGTATGCAGGCTGCCTGTATACGGACCGTTCATATGCAGGCTGCCTGTATACGGACCGTTCATATGCAGGCTGCCTGTATACGGACCGTTCATATGCAGGCTGCCTGTATACGGACCGTTCATATGCAGGCTGCCTGTATACGGACCGTTCGTATGCAGGCTGCCTGTATACGGACCGTTCGTATGCAGGCTGCCTGTATACGGACCGTTCGTATGCAGGCTGCCTGTATACGGACCGTTCATATGCAGGCTGCCTGTATACGGACCGTTCGTATGCAGGCTGCCTGTATACGGACCGTTCGTATGCAGGCTGCCTGTATACGGACTGTTCGTATGCATGCTGCCTGTATACGGACCGTTTGTATGCAGGCTGCTTGTATATGGACCGTTTGTATGCAGACTGCTTTATACGGGCTGTTCGTATGCAGGCTGCTTTATACGGGCTGTTCATATGCAGGCTGCTTTATATGGGCTGTTTGTATGCAGGCTGCCTGTATACGGACCGTTCGTATGCAGGCTGCCTGTATAGGGACCGTTCGTATGCAGGCTGCCTGTATACGGACCGTTCATATGCAGGCTGCCTGTATAGGGACCGTTCGTATGCAGGCTGCCTGTATAGGGACCGTTCGTATGCAGGCTGCCTGTATACGGACCGTTCGTATGCAGGCTGCCTGTATAGGGACCGTTCGTATGCAGGCTGCCTGTATACGGACCGTTCATATGCAGGCTGCCTGTATACGGACCGTTCGTATGCAGGCTGCTTTATATGGGCTGTTTGTATGCAGGCTGCCTGTATACGGACCGTTCATATGCAGGCTGCCTGTATACGGACCGTTCGTATGCAGGCTGGCTGTATACGGACCGTTCGTATGCAGGCTGCCTGTATACGGACCGTTCATATGCAGGCTGCCTGTATACGGACCGTTCATATGCAGGCTGCCTGTATACGGACCGTTCATATGCAGGCTGCCTGTATACGGACCGTTCATATGCAGGCTGCCTGTATACGGACCGTTCATATGCAGGCTGCCTGTATACGGACCGTTCATATGCAGGCTGCCTGTATACGGACCGTTCGTATGCAGGCTGCCTGTATACGGACTGTTCGTATGCATGCTGCCTGTATACGGACTGTTTGTATGCAGGCTGCTTGTATATGGACCGTTTGTATGCAGACTGCTTTATACGGGCTGTTCGTATGCAGGCTGCTTTATACGGGCTGTTCATATGCAGGCTGCTTTATATGGGCTGTTTGTATGCAGGCTGCCTGTATACGGACCGTTCGTATGCAGGCTGCCTGTATAGGGACCGTTCGTATGCAGGCTGCCTGTATACGGACCGTTCATATGCAGGCTGCCTGTATACGGACCGTTCGTATGCAGGCTGCTTTATATGGGCTGTTTGTATGCAGGCTGCCTGTATACGGACCGTTCATATGCAGGCTGCCTGTATAAGGACCGTTCGTATGCAGGCTGCCTGTATACGGACCGTTCATATGCAGGCTGCCTGTATACGGACCGTTCGTATGCAGGCTGCCTGTATAGGGACCGTTCGTATGCAGGCTGCCTGTATACGGACCGTTCATATGCAGGCTGCCTGTATACGGACCGTTCGTATGCAGGCTGCTTTATATGGGCTGTTTGTATGCAGGCTGCCTGTATACGGACCGTTCATATGCAGGCTGCCTGTATACGGACCGTTCGTATGCATGCTGCCTGTATACGGACTGTTTGTATGCAGGCTGCTTGTATATGGACCGTTTGTATGCAGGCTGCTTTATACGGGCTGTTCGTATGCAGGCTGCTTTATACGGGCTGTTCATATGCAGGCTGCTTTATATGGGCTGTTTGTATGCAGGCTGCCTGTATACGGACCGTTCGTATGCAGGCTGCCTGTATAGGGACCGTTCGTATGCAGGCTGCCTGTATACGGACCGTTCATATGCAGGCTGCCTGTATACGGACCGTACGTATGCAGGCTGCCTGTATACGGACCGTTCGTAGGCAGGCTGCTTTATACGGACCATTCGTATGCACGATGCTGTATACGGACTGTTCGTATCCATGCTGCCTGTATACGGACTGTTCGTATGAAGGCTGCTTTATACGGACCGTTCGTATGCAGGCTGCTTTCACGGGATAGTGATCGATGTCACATTGATGAATCTTTTTGATCATTTGAATCCCTGATCAGAAAGGGTGGAGATTCTGTCTACAATTGGAGTGGTAGAAAAAACATTTTGAAAAACTGAAGCCTGATTCTATCTTCATTTATCTTTGATGAATCTTGAGTGAAGTTAAAAAGTTTTTCCAGAGTTTTACCTGAACATCTCTCCGAGTCCCTTCAACATTCCTTTCTTTGGTTTTCCTTTTTCCTTCTCCTTTCCTCCGTCCTGCTTCTTCTTCTCCTTCCCTGTTTTGTCTTTGTCCTTCTTCTTCTCCTCCTTGCTGCGGTTGGTGCCATTGACCAGCGGCTTTTCTGGGCCTGGGGACAACGGGGTCTGGTCTGCCACAGTGGAAACAGAGTCCCTCCCCGATCGTGAACTCTCCTCTGTGTCCTCCTCCACTGAGAGCAAGAAACATGGGAATCAGTTACAGCACAGATTGCAACCAAAAAGTCTTAAACCAAAAAGTCTGCAACCAAAAAGTCTGCAACCAAAAACTTTAATGCATCGTAGTTGTAAATGTGAAGTTTCTGACAAAATTAAACTACTAGAGTTCTGCTTTACATTTAAATGGAAACCATTAAAGTGTAAAGACACTAGGAAATGACTGAAAGCAATAAATTACTCTTTCCTTTAACTATAATTGGATAGTGAATGCATTTAAACATAATTTGTTTCTTTAACTCCTTTCAGATTTATTTCCCTTTTGCCATCTTGTCCACCTTAATGTTTCCAATCAACCAAGAAACACTAAATAATAAATTTATCCCAAGTAAACAGAAAATGCAGCTTTTAAATTGTGATAAAAAAAGGTTTCTAAAACCATCTTGTTTTGAAGGTATAAAAGTTAAATCCTGTTGAATTTATATATAGCAGTTTGGAAAGTTTTCGAGCATGAAAAGCCTGTTTAAGGTTATGGTACAAAGTTAAGAATCAGATTCAAGTCCAAAGACTTTGACTAGACCATTTTGAACCTTAATTTATATAGATCTAATTACACCTAAGGGAATACACAATTTGTAAAAAGCTAATATGCTACAATATTCTGAATTTAATCTAAGGGCCTCGGATAACATTAGTGCTAAACTTTCATTTGTTTGTTTTACCTGATCCATAATAAGCTAAACATGGAGTGTTTTAGTGAAAAATAAAAGTATGGTAAGGTTAAGGTTAGATAGTAAGGTTTTTCTTATTAAAAGAATGAACAGTTTTCAAATTTCTTGCAGAATATCAACTGATTTTGATATTCCCGAATATTGTTCAGACCCAAGAACCAGTTTGAGCTCACCCTTCATTTGTGTTTTCTTAATTTAGCCAAGTTAAAAAAGGAAAGAAAATGTAGACTTAGCTGCACCGAGCACTGCTGCTGCTGAGTAAAGGGCTGGTTATAGTCCCACAGCAGTGTGTCGCAGAAACAAAACAAGCCGGTAAGGTACCAAACAGGAAATACTAATAGATTTGACCAATCAGAGGCCTCCTGTCTGCGGTCAACAATAATGTTGAAGAGGTGCAGCAGAGTGTCTGTGGAAGGGGCGGGGGCATATTTGCGTTAATTGCAACCCACACGCGGACGACCTGGTTTCTGAGTATAAATCAGCCTTAAGTGTTGCCTAATATCTAAATCAATTCAACTCATCTAGAGCTCTATTTACAATAAAATAAAATAAATAAACAAACAGTATCATAATGAAAAAGTTCAAACTTGTGGTTCCACATTTTTCAGGATGATTGTAAAAATATAGCTTATATTTAAAGAGAAAATCTCCATCTTTTTCCCATTACTGTGCTGCCAATTATCCTTCAGAACTGTGTTTCTTGTCTTAAAGCGTTTGGCTGCAATAACCTTTTTAGGTAGACAATTTTAAGATCTGTCCAGGGAAAACAGATGAAAAATAGCCTTTTGGCCAATTCTGGTGCATTTGCAGGAATGCTTTTTAATGTACACTGTCCCTGTTAAATAAATAAATTAAATTGAATATAAAGAGCCTTGATGGACCACCAGCCTGGCAGGTACTGCAGATGGAAATTATGCATAAATCTGACAGCTTTACACGTTGCAAGGTTCATCTGCATTTATTCTCATAATAGATCAACCAACACAATGTTAAAACTAACATAGTAATGTATATGATATCCAGTATGATTACAACCTCAGTGATTAAAAAGCCATAGCCGAAAGCAGTGAGACCTTCTGCTGCCACATATCAGGCATTAGTCAGTCTGCTGTCACTCCCATGCAATAAACAGAGTTTTAGTGAAAAACACTCCAGGACTGCTTTCTTGTTAGGACTCATCACAGTTAGTGTTATATGCAAAAACAATCCAATAACAATTACATCCTCGGCATAAAATTCCAGGACTCAGACGTTGTTCAGGAGAACCCCAGGGATCGTTTCTGTGAAAAAGAATTCAAATCAAATGGATACTGTGGCATCTTACAAGTCTCCATGCCCTCGTCGTCATCCTCTAAGGCGGCCGGTCGGTCGTAGGATTTGTCGATAGCTGCTCGGAAGCTCTCGTTGCAGCCCCGCCCCCTTATGATGCGAGGCCGGGGCCTGTGGAAGGGGAGGTCCCCGTTGAGGGTGACCTCTGCAACAGCAGTCTGGAGGCTTTCAAGAGAGCTGGACTTCTTTAGCCCTAGTGAAGGTCCAACATCTTTAGTGGAAGAACCTGATGGAGACCATAGAGAGGAACGATAGAGAGGAACTGAAGCAAAATGATTCGAATGCCTTCATTTACTATATTATCATTAAAATCTATCATATAACAGCACTTTATGCTTAAATCTGGAATGTTTACAGTGTTTTCAGGGAGGGACCGATATGAGGGACAAGTCAATTCTTAAATATTTTAAAAGCAAGTCAGAGTCGAATCAAGAGTCTTTACAATTAAAGTCTAAATTCATTGGAGCCTAACGAGTCCCTTTACTCATTTTTAGAGAAAAAAGTCAGTGGCAGGTCTTAAAACTCGGCTGTGAGAAGATAAGAGTTTCTAGTCTAGACGGCAACTCCAAGTCCTCTTAAATCTTTATGGTTTTACCCTTTAATAAACAGAGTCAAACTTTTGGATCTGAACCTAAATTTGTGACATTAGCTTAGATTATTTGATTCTAACAGAAGAAAGCCAAGTTAAGAACTGAGACTTTATGTTTAAGAATAATCTCAATAATAAACCTTTATCATGGTGTGTGTTTAACTCTGTACTTCTTAAACCTTGACCTGGCATATTGTTAAGTCTCTTAATTAAGTTTAGCTTTACTAATTTTTATTTAGTTTGATGCATCATTAAATTACTTGGAGGATTCATTAGCATTTAAATGCAATTTATGGCCATCCTACACATTTTCCACATTTGCTTAACTTCAACAAAGTCATAGCTTAAACACAATTTAAAACTAATCAATGTCAAATAATTACCTGATATTTGAACATTCATATTAAATTATTTATCATTAAAATGATGAATGATCCAGACATAATGGTGGAATATTACATTAATCGGTACTATAAGTGAACAAATGACTAGAAGCCCGATTTATTGATTTATTTTAATCAAACACAAATACTAATATCTCAAAACTACTAGACCTACAATTATTTTCATTATTTGATGCAATATTAATTTCACAGAACAATAAGGCATTAAATGAAGAGGCTGTTTCAGCAGAAGTACTGATTTAGTAAAGAGTGTTTGGGTTTATACCCATCCAGCCTGTATTAAACCTGAAAGGTCCTGAAAGGGATCAAAATAGTTCTTCAGAGGTTCCAATGCTGCTGAGGAAGGACATTACAGGAGAGTCACCTCGTCCACCTGAACAGATGTACCCTCCTAAGGGATGACGGGCAATAAAAGGCGACACCAACATGCTGTAATTGAACCAGGATATTGTTTTCGAGATGATTGTGTGTTCACGTGTCATTCCCCCTAACTGACTGCAAACTTCATTACAACACCAGGCTGTAAATTAAAATAACCATCAGCAAAACTGGAAAAAACATGACACTTTAATTAAACTCGGAGAAATCAGTCGGTTCTAATCCCCATTTGGCCTCTTTTACATGAGCGGGGCGGACGCAGTGGGAGTAATAAATGAAAAAAGGTGATGAGGGATGGAAGCAAATAAAAGAAAGAGTTCTCAGTATCCCGGGTCGGTTTCATTTGGAAACCGGGCGTTGCACTGCTGGCTGATGAAAAATTAGGAAGACGTCATAAAGACCCAATGTAAATCCAAATATAATACATAAACAGAAGCTAAAAACAACATTTTGAGTAGTAGCTGCTTTTAATATTATACTGATAGGGATCTAATAAGGCTATATTTAGACTAAATGTACTACAGTAGGTGTTATTTATTTGTTGGGACCGTGAGGCTCTGTTTGTGTGTTTAATTCATCTGTTGACATTTTGCCTGAGTTAAAGTCGGTTTCTTTGAGCTCTTTAATAAGCTCAGTATTTATTTTTATAAATTCAACCTATTGGGTTAAAATAGAAACCCAGTTTTTCTATAGATTTATTCAAATCCTCATTCTTTTCAATACAGTCCATCACAAAGCTCAGATGTTCTACCTGGATAATCTTACAGTTAATTTTCCCCTTAATTAAAATATTTAGCAGGTAATGTCTTAAATTTAGCTGGACAAACACAACAATAAAGTAATGGCATCTGAATGAAATGCTTTTCATTTAGTGGAGCAACACATGACTTAGGGAAAAATGCCATCTGACTTGTTGCTATGGTGATTCCCACCACTTTTAATCAGAAACCGAATTGAAGCAACCTTGGACACTAAGCCAATACAATCTACAAAGAAACCTTGACTCAGTAGCAGTTACAATATTTTTTTCCAGCTTTGGAAACATAAATTGAGCTGTAAATTCTTTTACCAACCATCTATGAGCAATGGTCGAATACCTATTCAGTTTTTGTTATCGTTCAGATTTAATCTTTTCATCAAGGTTACATTTAGACACTGGTATTTAAGGCTCCATTTATAAGGGGAAATTTGATTTATTCCAGTTCAAGAGAAAGAAAGGAACCAATGTTTTAATTTTATTTTTAATGGTCGTTTTGTTAAAAATATTAGGGGAGTGTTGGCCTAGTGGTTAGAGCAGTGGGACTGTGCTCTGAGAAGGCTGCAAGAACCCGGAACGATCCCCACAGCCTGCACTGCGGGTCTCTGAGCAAGACCTTTAACCCCCATTCTGCTCTGTGGCTCCCGCACAATGGCAGCCCACTGCTCCCCAAGGGGATGGGTAAATATGTAGAGAGTGAATTTCTCCATTGTTTGACCAATCAAGTTCAATTTCTATTTCAATTTGTAAAATGTGAGGATTCAAACTAACTACAGTTAGTATGAAATGTTTTTGTTAATCATGGTTTAAAACATTTTTTAAATCCTATTGTGATCTTTTGTTTTAAAATCTTTTAGCTGATACATTTGGAGAAAATATCAGCTGTGCTGCTGCCATCAACGCTTTGTTTATAGACGTTGGAGATTGGCCTATTTTCCAGTGTAGTCCTGTTTCTCTGACTGTAACTGGCTGGATGTGCTCTCTTCATCCTCTGGCATGGGAGTTGGTTCGGAGCTCGTCTGCCTGGCTGTGTGTTTCCTGGATGGGGCCGCCTTTTACAGCTGCTTTTTGTATCTCTGTTTCTGTCTCCTTGAACCCCAGTCGGCCTCGGCAAACGGCTGCTCACACTGAGCCTGGTTCTGCTGGAGGTTTCTTCCTGTTAAAAGGGAGTTTTTCCTCTCCACTGTCGCTAATAGCATGCTTAGTGTGAGGGATTGTTTTTGAGTCAATGAGTCGATGGTTTTCCTTAGATAGAAAAGTTTGAATCATTTTGACTGTATGATCAGAATTGGCGCTATATAAATAAAGTGAATTGAAATCCTACATTTTAAATCTTAATTAGGAAAATTTGTTAACACGCTTCAATTTCATATCAGAATATTTTCAAGTACTCAATGTTGAGTACTTGATATCGCCGAGGAAAAAAAAAACTGAATAAGACACAGATGGAGGCAAAAAAGAAAACCCTCAACTGGAAAATTGAATACATGCAGAGCGAACAAGCCTGTGGGTTAGCGGCCTCCCATTTATTACCATCAGCCTGTCCTGCTCCCTTAATGTCTCAGCGAGAGCCACGCTGATGTGCTTTCCATACTGCACACCCACTTTATTTAAAGGCACTATCTGCTGCCATTCACAACAGTCACACATTGGTGACAGCATTAAGAAAAGAAAAACAAATAAATGAGTAATTGACATATTATTGGGGATCTGAAAAACAGCCGCAAACAGGAAAACTTTCCCCGACTCTGAACTCGCCAAATTGATTTCTTGTGAAACTCTGCTCAGTCAGCCACCTGCTCACAAACAGGAGATAAACAGGCTTAAAGAAAACCGGCCGCCTGTTTTATATAGGGAGAAAATAACTTAACCGGCAGGTCAGACAACGATGTTTAGATAATAGCTCAAATACATCACCTCATATCTGGCAACCGGTCGGTCAGTATAATCAACTGCTTTTCAGGCAGAGTGGGACAGCAGTTCATCTTCTTACAAACATTATCCTTGTAATTTCAGCTCCGACGGCCTTGCCATAACAAATAAAGACGGATCACGAAGCAGCCGGTACAAGAGGAGGACCATCTAAGCTGCCAGAAGCAACTATTGATTCAGTCTGTAGAAAATAAGTCACGTCGTTTGATTTCACTGCCTCGATTAGTTGTCTGCAGTTAACTTTGGAATGACTTTAAATTACAAACTTGGCTCCACTGATGAGGGATGCCTTCTATAAACTTTATAAAGTCAACTCAAGTGAGCTGCTATCTACAAATAAGGAAACAATGGCTTAGCTAAAATGTAGGTAATTTTATTTAGATGAGTTTATTAAAATTATCTTGATTACATAGAATTTGAAGCACTTTCTATTACTAATTAAAGTAGAAATCCGGTCACATTCAGAATACAAACTTCTGAAAGTACTTTATATAATTATTGCATACTTTTCAACAAATGATAAGTGATTTTAATTAAGAGTCATTTTCATTTGAATGTGCATTACTGGAGACATCCATGTTTGTCAAAGAACACTACTGCCACCTACTGGTTTTGACATCACAGTTTGGTATCGGCTGTTGATCAAGTCCCAGTGCTGTATCTGGTGTTTGTAACAACGCTCTATTATCCATGCTGGTGACGACCAGTGCACTATGCGAAGCAGGGAGTAACGGATTAATGATGTGTTTTTTCTGTGGCCAGAAGTTCGATGGCAAATCTTCCCTCTTTAAGTTGGCAATTCAACGATGAATCGGTCCTCGGGGGCTCATGAATCGGAAAGGTGACATTTGTTTTTGTTTTTTTTCACGTTTACCCGATGTATTACAACTTCCAACTGCCATGCACGTGGGCCTTGTCAGTTTAACTATAGCTCACACAAATTTCAATGATGAAGAACTCTCGAAATCTTAAGTAACTGTTATTGATTGCAGATGTGTCAGGTAGTTTGCACTGATTTTTGCTGTAAAGTTGGGAAAATGGCGCTAGGCTTACTGCACCGTGACGTCACTTCCAGAAGATGTCAGGAGTGAGGTGTTACTATATTTGGACAAAAACATCCGTTCCCGGACTCAGTCATCGTGACGAAAATTATTATATATATATTTTTTACTGATTAACGCTAAATTCATCAAATCACTGCAAACGTAGTTTTAAGTATAAATAATGATCCATTGATCATTCCTTGCTGACCAGACTTCTCCTTTAAGGTCTAGTCTAGATAAAGTTTACCCAATATTTTTTCTATAGACAATGGAAAATGCTCTTCTATCACTTAAGAAATGTTTTCATTTCAGCAAATGTTTTAAACTATCCATGTTAAAATGGCCACTTTTTAGAAAATCTAATGTAGTTTCCTACTTAAAATGGTAAACTTTGTCAATTAATGACAATGCAGAATTCTACAACAACCTATTATACAATTGTTGACTTCAGCTCCAGCTGAAGGAACTTTTAAATTTTTGTTGCAATCGCTCAGACAAAAGCTTTTCTCAGAGATTAATGACACGTCTAGCAGATCCTGAACAGTTCAGCATTGTCCTCTCTCTCTGAAGTGGTCCCATTCTCCATGTGGCAGCGGTCTGTATCAATAAACTCTTCAGCCAATCACAGAGCAGGACTGTAGTGTATGTTAAATACCATAACATGGCTGTCATAGTCTTTGGTTACAGCAGGAGGTCTGTGTTTTGACCTGTCTAAATGGACCATGGATCATTTATATTCAGGACAAAACACAAATTGAAATAAATGGTAAAAAGAAAAACTGATACCAGGCAGTGGAAAAGTAAAATAAATCCTGAGGAGGGAGAATTCTGTTAGCTAAAGCTACTTTTGGGAGAGATCCACTGTAACAAATAAAACAATAGAAATAACCTGCTTTTTATTAATAATATACCAATATGTTTTTCATTAATATTGTACATTCCACCAGAATTTGTCTTCTGTATTTAACCCATCAGCATGAGGGAGCAGTGAGCAGCGCCCGAGGGACAACATGAGGGGCTTACTTGTTCAAACCATTTGGCCCCCTCTGCCCCAGCAAATTGTCTGGGGAAACCCCAAATAGAGTCCCCCACTACCAAAAATAATATAATCCAGATCCCCAATGGAGAATTTATAAAGGTCAGAGCAGCCTGAGTGTAATGCCATGGGCCATGTTGGTGCACCAACTTCATGATTAATGCAACCCTCCTGCCACGAGGTCATATTGGCTCACTTTCATTCATGGGAACTACAGCAGCCATTGTGCTTTAAAATGACTAACATTGGCTGATACTGATGTTGATGCTAATATAACATGTATCCCAACATGAAATCCATCTTTGTTACTCTATACAAATATCATTTTGCAGCAGCAGGATTAATAGTGGCTCTCTCAACTGATTTTTATGCTTCTATATACCGTACACCATAAATATGAATGGGGGAAAAAAAGTTACCAATGAATGCATTGTTCATGTCTAATAATATATTCAGCAGACCGTATTAGAAAATCAATGTGCAATTTATAATATAGAACCCTTCAATGATCTAAAACTGAAAACTTAGGAGTTCGGTCCGTCAAAAAGTTAAAGGCAAACAAGTGTTCAAACTGCTACTCTGAGATGCACCCATTACTAATAGGCTAAATTACGCTAATGGTTCTAACTAATGTGGGGAGTGTTGGCCTAGTGGTTAGAGCAGTGCGCTTCATCCCCAAAGCCTCCATTCTGGGTTCCTGTGCAAGATCTTTAACCCCACACTGCTCCCCGGGCGCCGCACAATGGCAGCCCACTGCTCTCCATGGGGATGGCTTAAATGCAGACACTGAATTTCCCCATTGTGGGACAATAAAGGGATTTACAATTAATCACTGGATTGGGTTTTCATGGAGTAAGATCTTGACTTTGATCGAAGCTATCAGAGGTTTGTTTAGGTTAACCTTTTCTTTTACGGGCGGCTATAAGAAGCAGACTCTTCCCTAGTAAACGTTTAGTAAACATTTCCAGGATTAAAGGACTAATGTCTCAGTATGATCTGGAAAAACGAATCCATACGTTTATTTTTAGTTGAATTGATTACTGCAATGGTGTTTTCACAGGTCTGCCTAAAAAGTGGATCAGACAGCTGCAGCTGATCCAGAACGCTGCTGCCCGTGTCCTCACTAAGACTAAGAAAGTAGAGCACATCACCCCAGTTCTAAAGTCCTTACACTGGCTCCCTGTATCTCAGAGAATAGACTTTAAAATATAATATAAAATATAATATTAGAAAACTGTAAAAGTGCAGAAAGCCTGAGTTCCTTTAAATCAAGACTAAAAACACATTTGTTTAGGATTGCCTTCGACTGTTCTAGTTAAACAGTTCAACTGAAACATCATTAGTTCAACTTTATTTATTTTCTTTAGTCCAACTGTTTTTAATATTCTTTTTTGTTTCTGCATTTTTTATTTTATTTATTTTTTCCTACTTGCTTTGATTCTGTTTTATTTTACTATATTTTAATCATGTAAAGCATTTTGCATTGTCTTTGTACCGAATTGTACTACACAAATAAATTTGCCTTGCCTTGCCTAGTAGAAACACATCTTGAAATCTGTACAAACCTTTTTTTTTTTTTACTCATGCCGCTATAACCTGAGGAACTTCAAAATGAACTTTTTCCATCTATTAGTTGCCCTCACAGGTTTGGATTAAACTATAAAATGAACATCGAAGTGTCAGTTTGTGTTTTTTTTCACAAGTTTTCACACTCATTCACAGTCATGTTCGTGTTGCTCTAAAAACGTTCTCCCCTCCCAGAGTTTAACGCCCTCCCCATCTTCCTCTACATGCCTCTCTTCATGCTTCAGTCGGAGCCTTTTATTCAGTCAAGGCGACAGCACAGCTACACGAGACCCGACAATGATGGATGACTGGCTGTCAGCTTGCAGCCTTAACCGAGGACGCAGTGCTTTCTGCGCTCTCCCCTTTTGAATTTCAGGCAAAAACAATTAGTGCTAAAGCTGCATCTGAGCCAAAAATGGGAGAAAATCAAATCTGTAGTCGCCCAAGTGCTTCCACGGCTGTGTTCAGCAGCGACCTTAGACGTTCGCGGAGGACTGCAAGCCTTCAGTCGGCACGCAGACAAATTTGTCTTGTCAAGAACGAGCCTGATGCTAACGGGGTGGGATGCTGCAGGAATGCATTAAAAGCAGAGCAGTGGGTAAACTGAGACCAAGGAGAAAACAACCTGCAGGTCTGCTGCTGAATTTATTTTTCCTGATCAATGCGAGGGACTGATTTTCCTGTGGATTTCCAGTCACATCCTGTTAGCGACGGTTCTGATCCACAACGCCGCACACGCTGCAGGAAAGTCTTTTAGTCAGATTTCCAATACAGAAACATCGACCAAAAAGTCTCTTTAAAACACCGATATCTCCTTTTTCTGATGTATTTACCGTCCCTGCAGAGATGGATGTGAGATAGAAGAGGCTGAGTTGGAGACATAATGAAGTAACTGATCCAAGTTTTACTGTTTGGTTTAAATGGGGACATACTTATAAAAAGCTTCACTTTTAGATATCCAGCTTTTTATTGTTATTACACTGTCACAAGTAAAAAGCAACAAATTTCACTATTTGTATTTAACCCATAACCTTTGGGAGCAGTCATCGTGGGGTGCCTAGTGAGCAGTGTGGGGTTAAGGGCTTTTGCTCAGAGACCCAGAGTGGCAGTCTGTGGGACTGGGACTCGAACTCAGAACCTCAGGAATCCAAGCTCTATGCCCTAACCACTGGGCAGCCACTCTTCGAATCAGATTTCAAATTTGACCAGAAAGTGGTTTTAGGGATACTCGGGTTCACCAGATTTCTAAGTTAGAAATAATCATAAGGTTAAAACTGAAGACTGTTTTTTAAAAGTCTACAATCTTAGGGAGGAAACAGGTGAGCTTCCAGGAACCATGTAAGGCATTCTACCTCAAACAAATATACATAAAACTGTTTCAATTTCCTTATTTTCCATGCCCATATTTTATACACCTTTTTAAAAATTCATGCAAGACCTACAGACAAATCTTTAGACAACAAAGTGCCTTAATTAATAATAACTGTTGCACCAGAGCTAAGAGGCCAAAATCTGGCTATTCATTCACTACACAGCGTGAATTTAAGTGGCCTCTAAAACACTGCAGCTACACCATCTGTAAAGGTGTTGGCTGTGGAATGTGGAAACTGTAATTCATACTATTAGGCTTTTTCTATTTATTAATAAAAACAACTAAGGAGTAGATCTTAAATGGATTCATAAATTCAATTCTACACCTTTAAATATGCACAAAATTTTAAATGACATTTATGAAACAGTCTCCAATCCATCACCCTGATCTATTGCTCCCTCAACTTTGACAAGAAGAAGCTTGCTAACAGATGGGTTTTTATATTATATATATAAAATATATATATAAAATATATATATATATATATATATATATATATATATATATACACACACACACACACACACACATATATAAATCGACTTCTCTCATCTTCCTACAAAACGGTACAATAAAATAAAAATTTGTGATAGTAAAAAAAGCCTATTTATATAATTTAGTACAGAAAAAAAAATCATTATATCAATTGTTATTTGTGTTGTTCTTAAGAAGAATATACTTCCTTATTCATTACTGATTAGGATATTTTTTCCTATATAAAGTTAATTTAGCTGATATAAATGGTAGAATTAATTGACAAGATCAGTTCGTCGTTAAATCAGGGACAAAAATTATTCCTTTTCCAGTTTTCCCCAGATTATAATCATATATAAATATTTAACATATGTTTTGATCCTAAATTATTTACTACAAATGTTTTTTTTGTCAGATTTTATCAATCTTCACTGATGGCAGCGACTCTTTTGTTTTGCTACTGTAAACTTTTGTTGGACTTTTTATTTTTGAATCTTTCATCCACCAATAATTCTGTAATCTTTCTAGAAAAGTTTGCTGGTTATTTATTTTTTTTATTTTGCACTGTGGGATTAATCCAGGTACAGGATCCTTGCAAGTTTATCTCTAATTTGGTAATTTTACATTAGATTTATGCACCTTTATCACAAGACGTGAAGTAGAAGGAGGTGAAGGAGAGCAAGTGATCAGAGGTGCACCGGTCCTTACCTGTGTCGGTGTCAGGACGAGGTGTAAGGTTAATCTCATCGGCTACTGTTAAAGGAAGGAGAGGAACACAGGAGGGATACAAACATCTGGGGTTAGGTTAGGTGCTCGTGACATTCTGCATGCAACGTCCAGGTCGTGCAACAAACATCACAAAGGGCTTCATCTCAATCAGGATCGGACGCCATGCGGGACGAGGAAGAGGTGAAAATACAGTTCTAGAATAGCAATCAGACTCGTTGAGATATGAACACGGCGGCAATCTGGTCGAGAAGATTAGATATGATTACAGAGAGAGTGCGAAGAAAGAGCCTGTTACAGCCAAAGCAATCAGCGTCTGTTTGAAGACATTTCAAGGTGAATCAACAGTGAAGTTCTTGACTTTGGTGAGAGATGAAGTCTGTTTTCTTTTTTTTAACAAGACAGAGAAAAGGGAGAGAAATATATTTGAGTCTGAAACAATGGGGAGCGTGCAGGAAATCTGGCCAAGGTGGCGCATCTTTTAGGGTTAACCTTTTTTTTCTAGGTGCATTTAAAATATAACAAGATAATTAGATGCAAAATTTTGCAGCATTCTTTCCAAAGGACATTGTATCCTGCGACATGTAGCCGCATTGAAATTAGGTTTTTCTGTAGTGGGTTATCTGTAGTTCCAGATAAAAAAGGGACATAGGTTTGTTTTCCCCAAGTGATAAAGTAGAAAACCGAGGAAATAATTCTGCTTCCGAACTGTAGGGAATCACTGAGAGCAGGTGAGGCTTTATGCTTCATAAAAAATGTTGCAGCTTTAAAATAAATAACCCCAAACAGTGGAGGACAGATTGAAGTTGGTACCTAGATCCATGCTCTTGGACTTGCGTGTCTTGATGATCTCCAGCTGAGCGGCATCTCCGAACTGCTTGGTGCGTTTCTCCGACATGCTCTGTCGTCCAAATCCTTCCCTTTGGAAAGCAACGTCTGGATCGTTTTCATCTGGACTCATCGGGCTGTAATGGTAGAGAGAGAGCGTGGGATGTCATGTGAACTTTAGGGGACACATCGTGAAAAAAACAACAACAAAAAAACACCCTTTGTACTTGGACTCTCTATATGCCCAGAAAGTTATTTGGCGTCTTCAGGTCTTGTTTTGCTAACATTCAGAGTTCTCCATTTGCTATCGTGTTGTGCTTTCTATTAAATAATAGTATTTACTGTGGAAGTGCTAAACAAGGTTAAAAACTTTCAGTTTACAAACAACAAATCCACTTGTTTTTCCTTTCACAGTTTTTTTTTTCACAGTCCAAGTTGAAGGATGCCAAAGCAACGAGCAGATTAAACTAAATGTTAAACTAAATGGTGGGTGTATTAACCCGCAGTAGTCATTACAGAGTTCCCAAGCATCAGAATTTCTGCTAAGAGCCTGATTAAATAGATTTATTTAATGGATTAATGGATATTGATTGGCCTGCATCTAAAATCCCAGATATAAACAAGCTCATGGACATACAGGTTAATAATTAATCAGTCAGTGGTTCCCACACCTACTATTGTTGACTTTTGTTTTCTGTTTGACTAATACCACTTGTCCGAGCCTTTTTTGAATATACATCACTACAAAACAAGCAATAACATTATGTATGATTTGTGCTAATAACAGCTAATGTGGCTAATAGCCAATAGCATTGGCTAATATGAAGAAGAATTTGTTGAAACACTTTGGCCGTTTCTCAGCATGTGTACTTGTGCGTTCTCATGCGCTCGTGAAACGCCATTAGCCTCAGCTCTAGTACTGTTCCAATTCACAAGAATGCAACCGAGAACGGACAGTCCCCGGATGTTCTCGCCCCTTCCTATATACCCAGCATGCATTAAAACAGACTTGTACATTCTTGAGATTGACAGCTGTCCCAGCATGCACTGCAACAGCAGTGCCTTCCAGGTTAGCGCTTATAGCGCGCTGAGTTTTAAGTTAAAAGTTCACTTTTATGTCTCTGTTGTTCTTTGAAAGTGCGTTTTAAGATCATTTGAGGCTAGAAAATTATACATCTAAGCGTCACTATATGGCCCTTTTACGGATTTAGTGTGTAATTTAAAAAAAATAAAAATCCGAAGTTGAGAGGACCATGGCAACCAGCGGAGCTCCGAGGCTAACCGCACCCAGGGCTAATCTTAGCCTGTCTGCAGCAGCCCTCTCTTTTCATAGTGTGAAGTACGGCTGGCTCTGATAGAAAGTCTGTTGTTTTATTTGGCAAAATGTTCATTTAATTTGTGTTTATCTGTATGTGTTAATTACTATTCCCCCAATAAATGAAAAAAAGTTATAATTTATTATTATTATCTAGAGACTATTAATAACAGGAGGTGGAATGCAGATCCAGACTAGCTTTAAATGTGATGATGTCACAAGTACGTTTCCGTTCCAATTGACCCAGATTTATGCTGCGTGCTCCCGGTCTCCCCAAGTCCAGACATTCCTGTGTTCTTCTCAAGAACATACTTTCTGTACTTGTGTTCTGGTGAATTGAGAAACAGCCATTATTGTCTGAGTTGGTAGTTCCTTCTCACAGCAGAAATGATGGACAGAGCAAAGCTGTTAGCTGTAGATATATTAAGTCTAGAAAAACCAGACGCTTTGTTATAGATGCGTTGCTGTAACTTACTGGCTGTTTTAACCCCGTTTAGCTAAGCGTCATGGCTTCTGCTTCCGCTTGCTATGTGCACTCGCTTCCATAAGAGCCTAACCTGACTCTGCTTGGACATAATCATTTTTGTCTTAGTGAACCCATGATTCAAATACATGCTGATGTTCAAGGACCTAGCTTTAGCAAACTCTCTAACTATGTTGGGGTCATGCAAAAAGAACCTATTCAAGAATCAAGGATCTTTATATTGGATATTTAGTCAAGCCTCTCTGCTCAGAATGTACATATTTAAAATGTAGACAGAATTAAAACACACAACTGTTATCGTTTAGCGGGATGTGAAGTGCCTTATTTTGAATTAAAGGGATGGCAACTAACAAATCTGGAAGAGCCTAAGAAAATCAACTATATGAACGGATGAGGAGCAACAGAACCTACAACTGAGACCAAAGCAATTTTTCCTGCTATTCTAAATATACATCCAAACAAATAAGATGGATAGCCTTGCCTGGTCAAGAACCTTTCTTCACCAACAAGTTTCAGAAAACTATCCTCAGATTTTAAACGGAAGGGACATTTATCAAGACTAAGACTAACATCTGCCTATGTACATAAGCAACTTGAAAGCTCTGAAAATGAAAACATTAACTTCATAATGTTGCATAACCTGCAAAGCAACAAGCAGCTTCCAGGACAGTGGCCTGTAAGTTCAAGAAAAGTTACCTGAAAGCTCTAGGAAAAGAATATCCGATTTCAGAGAAACCAAGTCTGATTTCAAAAGCCCAAGATACAGTTTCTATAAAGTAACCTTTATGTTTAAGGAAAATACTTGATTTATTATTCATAGCTACCAACAAAATATAAATTTGAGATATTAGTAAATGTTTGCAATAGCAAGATAGTAAAAGATTTACACAGTTGCTAAAATATGAACATCTAAAAATATTTTATATGCAGCTCCAATGTTCAATTATTTTTAGTTTGGTGCTGAGAACAAAGAGAGAAGGCGCTCATCAGCCTTTGAGGCTGGATGGGGCCTACCCATCATTACTGTTCAGAATAAGTGAACATGGCAGGTAGAGAAAGAGTCTACATTAAATAAGCTTCTGACACTTTGACCATCTGCAAATAAAAAGCATCAGTCAAAAAAAACTAAAATGAAACCGATTCCCCCTAGAAACTTAAATGTACCTTTCATTCTGAGCAGGCAGCTCTTTGGCCCAGGGCGGAGTCACATCAGCTGCAAATCCCATATCATCATGAGAGCTGGATGAAGACTGGTCAGAGAGGTTTGACGGGAGGAGCGGCGGCCGGTCGTCCTCGATGATCACCGTGTCATCCTGCGGCATGTTGACGGTGGGAGAGAGCTGATAATTTCCTGCAGAAGACACTATTAATTATTCCTCTCATCTCTTTCCAAACCGGGAACTTCATTCTAAAAGCACATTCCAACTCCAACTGACCAGACATGTTTCATGTGAATAATAAATGGAAAATATATATTGTTTGCGTAGGTCCGTAAGGATCAAAGGGAAAAATTCTCCATTCCTACATCAGGGTTTCCATCTGATGCAAAATAATATTTCAGCCAGAAATCACAGAAGAAACAAAAGAACAGAGTGTCTCAGCTTTCACTCACCAGCACACAATGCTGCAACCAGTGTAAGACATGAAAGCCATTTTAAAATTGATGGGAGAGATTAGGTCGTCCTCACAAGGTTCCCACATATGTTTATGTTATTACAATTTCTCCAACAAAAAATCTACAGTCTTATTGGTAAGGGAGGGAGGGAGGGAGGGAGGGAGGGAGGGATGGATGGATGGATGGATGGATGGATGGATGGATGGATGGATGGATGGATGGATGGATGGATGGATGGATGGATGGATGGATGGATGGATGGATGGATGGATGGATGGATGGATGGATGGATGGATGGATGGATGGATGGATGGAATGGAATGTAGCATGGATGGATAGCTTATGGATGGATGGATGGATGGATGGATGGATGGATGGCTTATGGATGGATGGATGGATGGATGGAATGGAATGTAGGATGGATGGATAGCTTATGGATGGATGGATGGATGGCTGATGGATGGATGGATGGATGGCTGATGGATGGATGGAATGGAATGTAGGATGGATGGATGGATGGATGGATGGATGGGTGGATGGATGGCTTATGGATGGATGGATGGAATGTAGGATGGATGGATGGATATAATGTAGGATGGAATGTAGGATGGATGGATGGAATGTTGGATGGATGGATAGATTATGGTGGCTAGATGGATGAAAGGATGGGTGGAGGGATGTATTAATGGGTGGATGGATGGATAGAATGTAGGATGGAGGGATGGATTATGGGTGCCTAGATGGATGGGTGGGTGGATGGATGGAGGGATGGATATAATGTAGGATGGATGGATGGATGGATGGATATAGTGTAGGATGGATAGATATAGTGTAGGATGGATGGATGGATGGATATAGTGTAGGATGGATGGATGGATTGAATGTTGGATGGATGGATGGATGGATGGATGGATGGATGGATGGATAGATTATGGGTGGCTAGATGAATGAAAGGATGGGTGGAGGGATGTATTAATGGGTGGATGGATGGATAGAATGTGGGATGGATGGATGGATGGGTGGAATGTAGGATGGATGGATGGATGGGTGGATGGATGGATGGGTGGATGGAATGTAGGATGGATGGATGGATGGGTGGATGGATGGATGGATGGAAGGATGGGTGGGTGGATGGATGGAATGTAGGATGGATGGATGGATGGATGGATGGAATGTAGGATGGATGGATAGATTGATGGGTGGATGGATGGATGGATGGATGGAATGTAGGATGGATTATGGGTGGCTAGATGGATGGAAGGATGGATGGAGAGATGTATTAATGGGTGGATGGAGGGAGGGATGGATGGATAGAATGTAGGATGGATGGATGGATGGGTGGATGGAATGTAGGATGGATGGATTGATTGATGGGTGGATGGATGGATAGAATGTGGGATGGATGGATGGATTATGGGTGGCTAGATGGATGGAAGGATGGGTGGGTGGATGGATGGATGGGTGGGTGGATGGATGGATGGATGGAATGTAGGATGGATGGGTGGATGGATGGATGGAGGATGGATGGATGGGTGGATGGATGGATGGATGGAAGGATGGGTGGGTGGATGGATGGAATGTGGGAAGGATGGATGGATGGATGGATGGATTATGGGTGGCTAGATGGATGGAAGGATGGGTGGGTGGATGGATGGATGGATGGAATGTAGGATGGATGGGTGGATGGATGGATGGAATGTAGGATGGATGGATGGATGGGTGGATGGATGGAAGGATGGGTGGGTGGATGGATGGAATGTAGGAAGGATGGATGGATGGGTGGATTATGGGTGGCTAGATGGATGGAAGGATGGGTGGGTGGATGGATGGAATGTAGGATGGATGGGTGGATGGATGGATGGATGGAATGTAGGATGGATGGATGGGTGGATGGATGGAAGGATGGGTGGGTGGATGGATGGAATGTGGGAAGGATGGATGGATGGATGGATTATGGGTGGCTAGATGGATGGAAGGATGGGTGGGTGGATGGATGGATGGATGGAATGTAGGATGGATGGGTGGATGGATGGATGGAATGTAGGATGGATGGATGGATGGGTGGATGGATGGATGGATGGAAGGATGGGTGGGTGGATGGATGGAATGTAGGAAGGATGGATGGATGGGTGGATTATGGGTGGCTAGATGGATGGAAGGATGGATGGAGAGATGTATTAATGGGTGGATGGAGGGAGGGATGGATGGATAGAATGTAGGATGTATGGATGGATGGGTGGGTGGGTGGGTGGATGGATGGATGGATGGCCATATAACCAGATTTAAAAGGTGGATGTAAAAAAATGAAAGAAATATATAAACTGGGTGTTGAAAGCAGGAATAAAAATTGGAAAATAAAAAATATTCCCTTCGGCCGCTTCGTTCTCTATTCTTCTAACCCTTTAAGGAACTTTGCAGATACAGGAGTACAAGACCTGGCTTCTGTTAACAACTTCAAAGGAAGTTGTTTTATGTGGAAAAAAGGGATGACATGTAACACAGAAGATATGAAAAGCAAAGTTTTTTGTTATTTGTTCATTACTCAAACTGTGTAGTTCTTTATTTTGATCTATTAGTTGCACACATAGGAAAAAATTGTTTTCCACAAAGCTCTTTTAAAGTTTAAAAAAAAGAGTTGCAAATGCTATCAGTGATGAATTATTCAGCCCCATAAAAAAACAACAATAACAAACTCTTTCATTTCTTTGGTTTACCTTTATATTCCTACAGAGTGTAAAGAGATATTTTGGACCACAATACAAGTTTTTTTAGCTCTAGGCAAAAAAAAAAACTAAATTCAATCAACAGGAGGAAAAACTCATTAAAACTCATGAATGCATTGCCAAAAAAAGAAAAAAATGTATCAAAAGAGATAGTGATGGTTCAGTTATTAAAAAAATATATAATATAACTGGAAATGTTGAAAAAACTACTTTAAGGTCTAAAAGCAAAGAAAAACTGCTCAGAGCTAATCAGCTTTTACCCAAGCAGTTTGTGAGCAGGGCACAATGGTGTTTATATGTCAAAACACAAAGATTAATTCAAGCTGTGCCTCCACAAATAAAGATAAAAGCTTTCCTCAACAGAGAGAGAAAAACATATAAGAGTCTCCTTCTTCAGGCTGTGAAAATGAAGGCTTTAAAAGAACATTGATATGCAGCGCATGACTTCGTCTTTAATCTGCGTTTTGAAATTGGCATCAAAAAACCGGGAGCTTCCACGCCTCCGAAAGGGCTTGTGTACTGAGCTTAGGGAGAAGTTTGTTTGTCTTTAGACAGAGTTTGGAGTTGAAAGCCGCAGACCTGAGCCAGGCCTGCTGTTCGTTTCCCATAAACGAGCAAAGAGATGGCTGACGTGCTACTGGGCTCTGCTGCCTCCAGCCAGGAGGGTGAATGAACTGATGGAAACAAGCTCAGAGGGGAAAACAAAGCAGGATTCAGGGGATGCCTGAAAGGTATGACAGTCCGGGTCAATTAAAAAGTCTTTGCATGGCATGTTGTAGAGAAAACACTATGTACAGTGGGCGCTGATTGGAAATGGACACTTCACTCACGCTCCGCGTGTTTCACGTATTGTGTGAAAAACATGTGACTACTATAGCCACTAGGTGGCAGTCTGACTCCATTTCGGCGTCCCATGAGTCAGAATTACATAGGTCGAGTAGCAGACTGGAAGGGGTGTCACGGGTTGCGAGTTTATAGCGCAGAGGTTAAGCTGAGTGGTCTTTGGTTCAATAGACTGTGGGTTCAATCCCAGCTGTGGCCGAGTTGCCTTAATTGTTTTTGTTTTTTTTTTTATTATAATTATTATCGCTTTTTTTATAAAGTAATGAAAGTTAGAATGTAAAGTAATGAAACCAGGTTTTCTATTTTTGAAACAACAATTGGAGTTATTCGTTGGACATTCACGCATGAGCCTGTATAAAAAGAGGAGCTGACCAGCTCCTTTAGTCAGAGACACCGTGTCTGTACGTTTGTGGGCCTGCAGTCAACTGAAAAGCAGGTTTATTGGGGATCTTGGTGTGATATTGTTCTATTTTATTTTGTTTTTGATTAAAATAAAGTTAATGAATTAATTTAACATTGGGACTGCATAATCTTATTTCATGAAAATATTTATAGATAGATTGATAGTAGTTATAGATACACCTCCGATCTTATCTGAGAACTGTTATTTCTATTTATCTGCATCGCTATTATTTAATGAAAAATAAAATTAATTAAGTTGGAGCCGGGGATACGGACTGTAGCGCAACCAGAGAAAGGCGACAGAGACAGTGCTGCGGCTGGTGATGTTGAAATTAAAATCATATCCAAAGTTGATTCCTCATTAAGATAAGCCAAAGTTATTCAAAAGGGTATGTAAGAAAATATATTTTCTTTAGTTTTGTAAAATATAAGTGCCGTTGAAAGCTTTGTTTTTGTGTGTTACTTTCTTGCCGTGCAATACGTGACACCCCTCCCAGTCTGGTCAAGTAGCAGACTGGGAGGGATGTCACGTGTTGCGAACTTATAGCGCAGTGGTTAAGCTGAGTGGTGTGTAGACTAACAGCTTGTGGGTTCAATCCCAACTGTGGCCGAGTTGCCTTAAATGTTTTTTTTTTTTTTTTTTTTTTATAAAGCATCTTAATGCACCTTTTTCCTCCCTGTTTGCACCTCCAGTAACTTCTATGCCAATATGTGACGAGTGAATTTCTCCGCTGTGAGATCAATAAAGCTCATCTAATCACATCTACT